TCGTGTTTGGAGGTTCTTGGGCGACACTGATGGTGCCATGGCCATGTCCCCTCTCAGGGAGTGTGTGATCTCGTGTTTGGAGGTTCTTAGGTGACGCTGATGGTGCCACTGCCATGTCCCGCTCTCAGGGAGTGCGTGATCTCGTGTTTTGAGGTTCTTGGGCGACGCTGACGGTGCCACTGCCATGTCCCTCTCAGTATGGTGTGATCTCGTGTTTCGAGGTTCTTGGGCGACGCTGACGGTGCCACTGCCAGTCCTGCTCTCAGTATGTGCATGATCTCATGTTTCGAGGTTCTTGGGCGACGCTGACGGTGCCACGGCCATGTCCCGCTCTCAGTGTGCGTGATCTCATGTTTGGATGTTTCTTAGGCGACACTGATGGTGCCACGGCCATGTCCCGCTCTCAGTCTGTGCGTGATCTCGTGTTTCGAGGTTTTTGGGTGACGCTGACGGTGCCATGGCCATGTCCCACTCTCAGAGAGTGCGTGATCTCGTGTTTGGAGGTTTTGGGCGACACTGACTGCCACGGCCATGTCCTGCTCTCAGTATGTGCGTGATCTCGTGTTTGGAGGTTTTTGGGCGACGCTGATGGTGCCACAGCCATGTCCCCTCTCAGAGAGTGCGTGATATCGTGTTTGGAGGTTCTTAGGCGACACTGATGGTGCCACGGCCATGTCCCACTCTCAGTTGGTGCGTGATCTCGTTGTTGGAGATTCTTAGGCGACGCTGATGGTGCCACAGCCATGTCCCGCTCTCAGTCCACATAGTACAGTAACTTATACCCATATTAGACGGACAGCTGAGGGTGACAATGTACCAATAGAGGCGGGCCAGCCCATGTGGGCCCATGGCCATAAGTGTACCATGATAGACGAGTGGGCCGGAGGGTGGTGTGTACCTGTTCCAAATGGATGGGCCGGTGGTATATCTTGTAGATGGTATATAGGAATGTACTATATAGGATATCTATGTATATAAATGAATTCGGTGTGCGATGGAGATGAGTGGGCTGGACGAATGCAGTGCAATGTAAATGAGTGGGCCAGGGATGGTGTGATGGAGATGAGTGGCCAAGAGTACAGGGTACAATGGAGACAGGTGGGCCAAGGGTACAGGGTACAATGGAGATGGGTGGGCTGGGGGTATGGGGTGCACTAGAGTCCAGTGGGCCAGGGATACAGGTGCGATGGGGATGAGTGGGCCGGTATGTGAGGCACAATGGAAGACGAATGGGCCGGGGGTAAAGCTCGATGATATCCCATCCGGTAGATGATGGAAATTTCTTCCGGTATGGAAGGCGAAGGTGAAATGGATGATATGGATGAACCAGAAGTGTTAAATGAATGGGCCAGAAGAGCCGGAGGGGCATGAAATGGATTACGGATGAGCCGGAAGTGTTAAACGGATGAGCCAGATGGGGATGAAATGGATGATACAGATGAGACGGCAGTACATGAAATGGATGATACAGATGAGCTGGTGGTGAATGAAATGGATGAGCCGGATGGGGATGAAATGGACGATACAGATGAGACGGTAGTACATGAAATGGATGATACAGATGAGACGGCAGTACATGAAATGGATGATACAGATGAGCTGGTGGTGAATGAAATGGATGAGCCGGATGGGGATGCAATGGATGATACAGATGAGACGGTAGTACATGAAATGGAATAGGCTGAGGGATGGGGTGGGATAAGAGGTGGGTAAGGGCATGCGGTGCATACAGAGTATACTAACTGGAGAAGAGTGGGCCGAGGGATGGGGGTGAAATATGAGGCAGGTCAATGTATCCGGTACATGCAGTGTACTGACCGGATATGAATTGGCTGAGGGATGGGACATGATATGGGTAGCACGATACCTTACCCAGTGCAGTGTATTCTAACCGGCAATGTACATCCGGGTCTATACCCATACAGTTTGTCCATGATAAATATCCGGTACGGCTCAATTATCCACCCAGCGCATTCAGAAACCATCTCAATACAATAACCCCGAGTATACCAGATGTATATTTGAATGAGTACATAGAGTTGCTAAATATTTACATGGTCATATTTTGCAACTCTGTGCTCGGAGTCCCAACAAAATTGTGGATGCTGTCTCGCATGTATACTAGTGCCATGGCTCGGCTATGGCTGGCTCCGGCTCGGTATTCACCGGTTTGTGAGAATTTCGGCGATACCCGTTAGCCAAACCACTGGTCACTGGCTGATCTGATTCATAAGCCATGTGAGCTGCTACAACTTTCGTCAGCCAAAAATATATGAACCGCGGTTGAACTGCTTTAAGCCAGCTCAAGCCAGCTCAAGTCACGCGGCAGTTGCGTGGAAGGACTGCTTTTTTGGTTGCCTCCAGACTCCAGTGTTGTTGGTCGGATTCCCTTGATTTCTCTACTCGTGGGCTATTGTATACACTATGGATAAGGTTCCCATTCGAGTTGACGGAAGATTCAGGCTAGGAGACATTTTGGGATCCGGCTCATATGGTATGTTATTTACATATCACGATTACTGACTATATGTTTAATTCAACATTTGGACCCCATTAGCTGTCGTGTATCGTGCACGGAACATCATAAAGAATGACGCAGTTGCCATCAAACTTGAACCCATCACCCATTCATCATCTGTCCAGCACGAATACAATATTTTGAAACACCTTGAAGGTGGTGTTGGTATTCCTCGTGCCCTCTGGTTCGGTAGGGAGTCGACATATCATGCTCTCGTTCTCGATCTCCTTGGGCCATCCTCACAGTCTCTTCCTTTCTCACAGCCGAAAATTCAGCCTTGAGACTGTCATAAATCTAGGGGATCAGCTGGTCCGTCAGTGTGCTACTGTGTGGGTTGCATGTACTGACCCCTTTCCCCAGCTTTCATGTCTCGAATACGTTCACTCGCACAATTATATTCACGGTGACATTAAACCACAAAACGTTGTTCTGGGTCTTGGCGATTTGAGGCACACCGCCTTCATCATTGATTTTGGTATCGCGAAGGAATTCTGGAATATGACAACCAGTGTCCATATACCGTTTCGCCAAGGTCAACGTCTCACTGGCACTCCTGCGTTTGCATCAATCAACAATCACCTGGGAGTTGAACCAGGTCGTCGTGACGACCTCGAGTCACTTACGTACATGTTGATATACTTCTTGCAGGGCTCCCTTCCTTGGTTAATCAGTGGAAGAAAAACTTTCCAGTTCTTCCATACTCGAGCGCAAAGTAAACACCACTATCGAAGATCTATGCCGTGGAATCCCTGTCGAATTTGCAACAATGCTCATTTACACGCGCTCTCTCGCATTCTCAGAGGAACCCGACTACAATCACCTTCGTTCATTACTTCACACACTTCGTTCTACACTACCGGCACCAGCTGCATGCTTGCTGGATATAAACCAGCCTGGTGTACCTATCACACATTCCCCCTCCCCTCCATTCTTCGATAAACCCTGTGTAATTGAGGCAGTGTCTCCATGCCCGCCGCTTCGCAGATCGACTTGTATGTGAGTAGCTCATTTATCTTAGTACTTACGAACTAATGCAATTTCAAGTTTGCGTCCACGAAATGACTCCCTGTTGCATCATGTACCCACTTCAACTCCACGCCGGAAACAAGCTAGATCGTGATACTGTCGGATACCTGTAGCCTGTAGGGAGTAGTTTGTACATGTACATGTACTTTGTGATATAGTAGCATTCGCAGCACCTACTGTATCAATATTAATTTCTTACAATGAGCTTTGCGTCACACATACGACGTGGCGGATGCAATAGTCACCTGAACCGGATATTGATATCCAAGTTTCATCCATTCCCACGCAGCGCCTCTTATCTTTCAACATCCCCTGCAGGCTGCAGGCTACAGCCTTAAAATGACCTTCGCAGCTCGTGAGGGACTCATCGTGACTTCCAGAACCTTCATAATCGGTAATTCAGCCATACAACATAACGACAACGACTCAGGAAGTGCTTATCGATGGAGATCCAGCTTTGATTCCATCGATCATCCAAGTCGATTTAACTACACCTGAGGGTGAAGATGTGCTTGACTTCAAGCCTTTGGGCCCTCTGGAATCTGGAGTTTCAATTTGGAGTTAATTCTCTCTAGGTATGCACAATTTCGCGAACATTTTCACCCCCCACTAACTGCTGAATAGATTTGACCTGCCTGAAGCATGCATGAGTTGCGGAGTCTGCCTCATGACAATCGCCCTTTGGGCTTTTCCATCAGGGTCTCAGGATCACTGCACATCGACATGTTCTGGGGTTTCCCCAGATACTATTATATATGTAGGTCAGTAATTCTGCTGTTGGATCATCTCCACTACCACCGCCATTAACATGCCCCCTCGAAAGAAGAACGCCCGGGCTGCTGCCAGAGCTGCTGCCATTGTTCCCACTGTTGTTCCCATTCCTCCTGCCCCTGCCGCTGCTGCAACCATCTCTCCCGCTCCTGTCACTCCCACTGCCGCTCCTGGTCCAACCGCTGCTGCAGCAAATGCGAATATTCTTCGTAACCCTCAAAGGCATCGTCAGCTTCCTGCTCGGTTTCGAGACAACGATGCAGATGAAGGGGAATCCTTCCACCTTGACAACGTCTCCGGGGATGAGGGGGACGAAATTGTCAATTCGCCTGCACCTGCAGTTAGGCCTGCTGCAGGCCATAGTCCATTGCAGACTGCATGCCATAGTCCAATGCAGACTGCGATGAGTACCGCTATAACTGACCCTCTGGCCACTGGTGGCCGAGCAAAAGCGCCGAAAACCTCTGCCGATATACATTTTTTCTACAGACAGGACCCTACCACACTTTCGAATATCTGCAAAGCCTGCGAGTGAGTATCGTGTTTGGTGTCATCGTTCTCTCTGACATCCTTCACCAGAGCAATCCATAATCTCGACGATACTCATCACATAATGTCATACCTTCCTAGCACAGGTACATCAGCTCGTCGTGCACACGCCTTCGTCGACCATACCGACATTTACCTGGAGGAGGCAGAGCGTCAGCACTGGCATGTCCTCCATAAGTCGTCACGTTTGAAGACATTTTTGGATGAAGGCTGGATGGTCGCAACCATGCGTCAAAGGCTGAAGGATCCAGCTTACACGTTAGACTCACTCGGTACTCCCCCTAGTCCTGGCTCACTCCCCGGAACTAGCCTGTCAGCTCCAGACGATGTATTGCCTGCGTTTAATCTGGACGAGATGCACAAACAGATCGTGAAATTCATTGTCGCCAACGATCAGGTGAGTCAATGTTCACTTTCTACACGCTATGTTTAGTAACTGTCTTCAGGCGATAAATATTGTTGAATGTCCAGAATTCCGTCGTTTGATCCGTCTTCTGCGACCATCGGTGAATGAGACCGATATATATCACCGGACCAAAATTCGTGAGCTGGTCATTGACGCTTTCCATGAATACTTCAACGCTTTGAAGAAGGACCTCGCGGTAAGCCTACAGTTGTCAAGAGCCTTGCAAAATATCTTATATCTTTTAGGCCGCTCAGGGAAAGGTTTCGTTCACATCTGACCTCTGGTCAGATTCTAACCTTCGCCCGTTCATGGCCGTTACGGCCCACTGGATTGCTAAGGCTGAGCAGAGTTCAGTCCTCGTTTTGAGGGCTGCATTAATAGGCTTTCATCATGTTCCAGGCAGTCACACAGGTGATTTGCTAGCGACAGTCATTTTGCACCTTCTTGATCGTGCCGCTGTGACCGAAAAGGTCAGTGTTTAATTTTACCGTTTTACATGCTCTGACTCTGTTTAGAGTGGTCATTTTACCTTGGACAACGCTGCCAACAATCAGGTTTGCATGCGAGAGCTTTCGCAAAAGCTGGAGTGTCGCGGAATTGATTTCGACCCTATCGACCGCAGAATCCCTTGCTTCCCCCATATCATCAATATATGTGTGAAGCATATTATTGATGATTACCACGACGCCGACTTTTCGCTTGTGGCCGAACAATGGTCAATTGGCGATCGCAATCGCCCGGTCATCAAGGAGGAATATCTCGAAGCAGTGACAGGGAAAGCTCTCAGCAGAGCTAGGGACCTTGTGCGCACGGTTCGCGCATCGGACCAGCGACGTAATGCATTCAGGGACATCATCATCACAGGTAACGAGAAGGAGTGGTTCCGAAATGACCTGGGCGAGAAAGTGTGCCTCCCTGTTGTCGAACTTCTGCTTGATGAGGTCACTCGTTGGGATTCAACTTTCGTCATGGTTAACCGAATGGGAACCCTTCGCCAGGTAAGGCATTGTTCATGAAATATTTGTTGTGAACTAATAGTTGCCCAGGCAATAGATCTATACTTCAGTTCTGCCACTCAACGCTCTATCAGCAAGTTCAAGTTAAGCCCGATGGATTGGCAGTTCCTACAGGATCTCGAAGTAGTCCTAGAGGTTAGTTTTAATATCTTCGAAACTCGTGTTCCATCTTATCATTTTATATTAGGCACCTCACGCTGCCCAACAATGCATGTCGGGTGAACGCACTCCCATGCTGAGTGGTGCATATCCTGCATTCGAAACATTGATTGAGCGGTGGAAATCGTTGGCCAGACACGTCCCACACTGCAGCCCCCTTGTTAAGATAGGTTTGACTTGGGCAGACAAGTATGACGACAGGATGGGCGCCACAAATGCCTATGCAGTCGCTATGTGTGAGTCCGGCATTTTTAAAAATATTTGGTTGCTCATGAGTCACAATTGCATCTATAGTTGTTGATCCGGCAATCCGAATGTCATGGATTCGGAGTCGTTGGGAGGAACAACCGGTTGAAGATGTGCAGAAATACATAATCAAGCTGGTACGTCCATCGAACCAACAACAACGCAACTTTGAACTAATATTATCACACGCAGATGCATCAAAAGCGAGCCACGAACAGCTCGTCATCTATCGAGTCTCCAGCTAATGAAATTGCACCTCGACCACAACCCGCACGCTAGGCTCGCGCCTTTATGGACTTCCTGATATTGGCATCCTGCCAAGTAACAACAGGCCCTCAAACAGTCGAACAAGAATTCGAGGCCTACGCCACGGCTAATCTCAGCGCAAAGGGAACAGATATACTTGGATTCTGGATGGTGAGCGTCCTGTATCTCTACAATTTAAATCTTTATCGTTGACCATGAGATGTTCACCAGGTCTCGAAAACCTTATTTCCAACAATCTATGCCATTGCGATGGACTACCTCCCGATACAGGCCTCTGCTGTTCCGTGCGAGCGAGTATTTTCATCTGGTAGCGAGACTGACACGAAGAAACGCAATCGCATGAGCCCGGTCCTGATGGAGGCCCTGCAGGTGGTAAAGTTCCTTGTGAAAAAAGCGACACTCGACTTTACGAAGGATGTCTGCGTCGCAAAAGGATATGGAGTATGGGATGTTGGGCAACGGAGGGCAGACTAACGATCCTTTGGCATTTCCAGCGGCAGAAGACAGTGATGTATGCAACACTCCTCCTCAGAGCTATTTGCAGAGGAGGAGTGTGATGATATTGACGATGCTCCTACTACCTACGACTTGTGATGTTTGCTTTTCCTGCTCAATTGTTGTGGATTTTGTTTCACTCCTTCTTACACTGCTCTTACTTCTGTTTGCCTGGCATCTTGCAATGTTTCTTGCGTCATATCATGATTTCAATTGTGAACTGTTCTATCTTCCTTGACTATCTTCATTTGGTCTTAGCGAGCCCTCACTCGTTTGTGCCCGTCTGCACTTGTGCGTGCCCATCTTCACTCATTGTGCCCGTCTGTACTCATTTGTGCTCATCTGCACTTGTTTGCGGAGGAAAATTCTAGACCACTAGTGGTACAGCTGCCAGTGTCATCGGGAATGAAGCATTCTGCCTCAAATATTTTTTGCGTCCTCCTTACATTAATTACAGCTCAAACTCTGGGCCGCCTCGGCCATCTGGTAGTCAAGGACATACTTCTGAAGATTCATCTTTAGTGATCATGGCCGACATAAAGAATGATTTCCTCCAGAATACCAGAGGTAAGTGACCTCATGTCGTTCACCATAGGCGTCTGACCTAAGGTTCGTTTGTCAGGCAAAATTCCGGCTGTAAGTGACCTCATGTTGTTCACTGCCGGCTGACCAGGAGGACCATTCAGTCTTCCACCCTCGTTCATTGGGAATCCCCCAAACTCGGCAGAATACCAGGGTTAGTGACCTCATGTCATTCACCATAGGCGTTAATTGGGAATCCCCCCTGCTCATTTGAGGGCTCCTCGCACACAGCATACGGAAGACGAGTTCGAGCTTGTAATGGGCATCTTTGAGAAGGTCACCCATGACACAACGGAGTTTTTGCACCCATGCAAGTTGATTTACCTGACCTACCATATTGCAGCCTGATGCGTCTCACAGGGCCTCGAGTCCGGCATGACATTTCCCTCCATTTACAGACTATCAAGAAGCATTCTCTTCCCCACTACCCGCCCTCTATGTTTGCCATGTTCACGGTACCCGGACTTGGATACCACAACCTGCTCTACTACTGCGCCTGGCGAAAGTCATTTATCCTTATTGGCGTGATCGCCGCATCGAAAGAAAAGGCCACCGAATTATACCCCACTTCAAATGTGAGTATCTTTACGTTTTGTATGATTCAAGCAAGTGTTAATACTACTTATCAGTTCAATGAGTCGCCCTTTCTGTTATGACTGGACCTTCACATCAAATCGCCCAAAGTTTGACCGTTAGAATTAGCGCTAAACCCTACATTCATCCAACTCGACACCCGCTCTCATGTACTCTGCACCACCTTCTGCACAGGTCTGGATAAATGGGCTGAAAGATAGTGACATCATCCCCGCTGAACGTCGTGCGGACTTCATCACACAGGTCTTCTGGAACATCCATGAAATCATCACAGTAAATACCCGCCTTCGAGATGCACTCAACAAGCAACAAAGTCGTACACTGTCGTGGAGCACATCGGGGACATCCTTCTGGATTCTGTGCCGCATTTCGCACCCTTCATAAGCTATGGTGCTCACCAACTGTATGGCAAGTATGAGTTCGAAAAAGAGAAGAGCTCCAATCCGGTGTTCGCACAGTTTGTGGAAGTGAGTCGATTTTCCATATCGCTGTTCTTCTTGCTGATTGATGCGGGTTTTTTTAGAACACAGAAAAATTGCCGGAATCGCGCAAGCTTGAGCTCAATGGATATTTGACGAAGCCAACCACACGATTAGCTCGATATCCATATCTGCACTCGTCTGTGCTTGTCATTCTGACGCCCAAGCTGCTTTCCACCGAGGTGAGCCTTTCCACGAAGGACTATGATAAAGCGATTGATTTCTACTTCCTCCCTCAGGCTGACTGCTCTCGGAACAATCTTCAATGGAGTCTCGATGTCGAAGACGGTCACCCCTCAAAGCGTTCAATGTTGATTCACAGATTTGTCCTTTCTCCAACCGTGTCCCATGTCTGCTAGGTATTTCATTCAAGACACAGGCTCTCTACGCCCTCGTATTCATGACACGCTACATCGACCTGCTATTTCGCTGGGTGTCTGTTTACAACTTCGTCATGAAGCTATTCTTCATAAGCAGTAGTTGTCACATCCTCTACATCATGATGTACCGTTTCCGGTTCGTACTCACTAATGACTGCCTTCCGCATGAATATTGACCTTGGTTTTGATAGTCCGACGCATGACCCCCTCCATTGACACGTTCAAGATTGAATATCTTCTTGGGCCATCCTTCTTTCTATCACTGATATTCAACTACGCGTTCGAGCCAACCGAAATTCTCTGGACATTTTCTATATATCTCGAATCTGTCGCCATTTTCCCCCAGTTGTTCATGTTGCAGCGTACTGGCGAGGTGGAGACAATTACAAACGCACTATTTGGCTGCTCTGGGTCTTTATCGTGCTCTGTACCTTCCCAACTGGATATATAGGTATGCATGCGTTGGTGGATTCTGTTTATGGTTGAACAATTTTGCCCTCCAGATACTTTACGGAGGACGTGGTGGATCCCATAGCTGTCACAGCTGGACTGGTGCAAACCGGGCTTTACCCTCGACTTCTTCTACGTTTACTTTACAAAGTGGGTCTTTTATAACATGATCCCTGCGCCAAATGCATGCTCATCAATGTCATATGATCTTTTTCTACTTTCAAGTCTTCCGCCTCACTTGACTCTGTGATAGCTTGAAGACGAGACTCGAGTTGGTACTGAACGTCCTTTAGAGGTCCGTCAACATCAGGTGTACTATGACTCGCTCCCGGCTTCAAGGCTTGTGTCATCTGTAGTAGCGTCACTCGAGAAAGGTCAACCTGATTCGCTCCAGATATCGTCTCGAACGCTAAGGCTACTTTCTTGTCGTGGTTTGGAGTTGTGGTCTCGCATCGACTTCACCTTCGTGATGCATTCGAAGAGCCTATTGATATCTTTGTCTGGTAAATTATCAAGAGCAGGATCCAGGCCAAGGCGTGCAAGATGTCATTCCCAGAGTCCTCCACGGCCAGAAGTTCGAGCTCCCAGCATGAGTTTGCGTACGATCGTGGTCATGGTGTACTGTACATTTGTAGAACCCATATTGGACCTGTCCTACAACAGCCGCTTCTATTCCTGCCTCCCCCAACATCCTCAACAACCAATATCGCCACCACTTCGATCTCCGCGGCATACGACCTCCTCCTTCCTCTCCTCTCTCCCTTGCTCTTTCCCCTCTTTCCCCTCCTCTCTCCCCTGCTCTCTCTCTACTCTGCTCTCCTCTCTCCCCTCCAAGTCTCTGTCCTGCGGCTTGTCTTTCGGCTCTGTGCTGTTGCTCAGTCATCTGTTGCTCTCGTAAGTATCGCGTGGCGAACAACACTGCAGTACAACTAACATTTACTTTAGATTTTGATCAAACATTCATCGGACCACGTACGTTATCTTGGGGACCCATAGGTACTTGAATTGTTATATGTCGATTGACGATGATTGTAGATCCTGTAGTAGTAGATATCGATAGCTTGCTGGCCGTAGATCAAGGCGATAATCTATTTTAGTAACTTATTCTTGGCTGGGCGCTCTCTTTAGTCGCCGACGGGCATCTTAGACTTAGTAAATTCTAGCCTCACTGGTCACGACAGTACCGCATTCCGCCATATCCCGTTTACCTCGTCGCAGATGAACACAACTTATTGGTGAGTTATTCTTTGCTTCCATCGTGTCCAAATATACTGAGTTATTTATGCAGCCTCCATGCTTCGCGAGCACGGCACACAGCGACCTTCAGTATTTGAGCTCCTCGCTCAAGTACACGCCATACAAGGTACCAAATCGCACTTCACCTACGACATTCCTCCGCCTCATCCTCTCGCATGAGGCCGCAGTCTATGCTTGCCCTTCCAATGCTTAAAGGTACGCAGGGCTTCCTGATCTGTGCCCTCCCGCCCATCACAGCTCACCTTGAAACTTTTCAGGATCAGATGCATGCGGTGGGCCGAAAAGCCTGTGGGCTTCAGATAGAGCGCAAGATGCATCAGTATCTGGATTGGGAGCTCAATGTGGATCCAGTGACGCTTAGGGAGTTCGAGGACATGGTCAAGAAGGATTTTGTAGGTCAAGGACCTTTCCCAACTTACATTCTTCCCTCATCATCTAAGACAACCCCTCCTCCTACCACAGATCCCTTCCCGCTTCCTCCAACCACTTTGGCACCTACGCCTACATATGGCCATCGTTATCCTTCACCGCCAAAGCCTGATTTCCCTCCGCCCAACTCTTCCTACATCACACCACCCACATCGCCAGACACGCCGTCACCAAGTTATTTAACATCAACGTCTCCAGCGTCAACAGCATCTCCTCCAACACCCCCAGGTATGGAGGACTGTACGACTCGCATCGTTTCAGCTTCGTCTTCACCAGGTATCCCAAAATTCCCTCCGCCCAACTCTTCCTACATCACACCACCCACATCAGCGGACACGCCATCACCAAGTTATTCAACACCAATGTCTCCAGCATCAACGGTATCTCCTCCAACACCCCCAGGTATGGGACTCGCATCATTTCAGCTTCGTCTTCACCAGGTATCCCAAAATTCCCTCCGCCCAACTCTTCCTACATCACACCACCCACATCATCCAACATGCCATTACCAAGTTATTCACCATCAACGTCTCCGGCATCAACAGCATCTCCTCCAACACCCCCTGTAGCACAATATTATATATATATATTATTATTATCATTATTCTACTAGAGCTGGCTTGAGCTGGCTTGAAGACCTTAAATGCGGCTCCATTAACTAGACCAAGCTACTAATTACATAAGTTATAACTACATACACAGTTTGGCTAACTAAAGCTCCGCTCACGGCTAAAGCCGGCCATGAGCCGGAGCCGCGGCAACACTACATAGAATCATTTACAGAAGCTTTGGTATTTGCCAGCTTACAAATAATATGTGACAGCAATTTTGGCTTCCAAAAGCAGAAAATTTCCCATCTGGCTCAATTCCTGATGTCAGGACTTCCCACAATATTGCCACACCGCATTTTTGGCCACATGGCGTGGGAATTACCCCACAACACCCAAAACATCGCCCATTTTGGGACTCTCCACAATATCAATTATTCCCACACCCTTCCCACCTCACTGCAGCTTCACCACTACACCACAATAGATCCCCCTTCATATATAAGTAGTAGTTTAGTATATATATGTATAACATAATATAATAGACCGCTTTTTTTGCTCATTTGTATGCCTGCTCCTCCTCCAGGGGCCATTCAACATATGGTAGGGTATAGAACACTTTCGCACTTTTGCCCCTTTGGCATGGAAGTGTTCTGGGATAGTCAGAACATGTTTATGACCATATATGAATAGATCTCCATCTTTATTTAACCCCCTGAAGCGCCCTACATCAATAGGTATAATGTATGTATGGGAAAACACAAAATAGGTCCACATTTTCTGGTTTCTAGCCATATAAACTTGGAAAAACTGTCCCCAACATCTATTCAATAGTAGGAAGAATGTATCAGGAGCTCAGGACCATAGGGAAAGACCTTGTTGTGTAGTGCATCCCCCCTTTCCTGGTGGTTTACCCCCTGTGAAAATTTTCCTGTTGGACCGGACCTTAATTGGAGTCAGGGAGTCTATTTCTATGTATATTTGGACGTAGATGCATCATATAGCTAGCCCAGGACTCACATTAGGATCTCTCTCTACAGGAACAAAAACATAGAAAATCGCGTTTTTGACATTTTTGATATTTTTCAGTATCTTACCCTGCACCATCGGTCAACCTGTTCATATCTCATAGTAGTAGTATATGTAAATATGTGGTTTCATGTTAAGGATCAGTTAGATATAGGTCGGAAATTTGAGATTATAATGTAAAGGGGTATTTCGATTTGATTAGAAGGCCTATATGATAACAAAGGCTGTGATAAGTGATCAGAGACCTGGGGACCTCTCATATATGTTCCTCATGATATGACTAAAGGTTAAACGAAGTCCATGAATGATTGACTGAATGACAAGGCAAATGACATATGTGTGAAAGTGACAATTGGAATTTTTTTACACAAGGTCACATTTATAGCTGATGCAGGTCAAAGATTTCATTAAAAATATGTAGAATAGATGGTAAACTACACAAGGAACCTATACTACACACTGCCCTGAGGATAGAGGTGGGTGGAAGGGATGTAGTGTAAACATGAGTTGATCTAGGATTGAAGTCTGACCACTACTCAACTGACCATTTTCGATGTTTGAGTCTTTGAAGTTTCCCACACTCAATTTCTTATCTATTTCACTCCCTCAGCACTCAGTTATTGTTGGATTGGTCTGTAACTTTCGATATATAATACCTAATATATGTGAATTGTGCTCCAGGTTTCTGATTATTAAATTTCGATGTTTTGAAGGTATAGTCTCCTTATCAGTAGAAATGGCAAGCATATACCCTAGCTCAAATCTCTGGCCTATGTGGAGCTGATCTTGGTGACAAAAAGTCAATATATATCCTATTCTAATAATATATGAACAGGTTGGATCATGGATGCAAGGGTAAGATACTGAAAAATATCAAAAATGTCAAAAACGCGATTTTCTATGTTTTTGTTCCTGTAGAGAGATCCTATGTGAGTCCTGGGCTAGCTATATGATGCATCTACTCCAAATATACATAGAAATAGACTCCCTGACTCAATTAAGGTCCGGTCCAACAGGAAAAATTTTCACAGGGGGTAAACCACCAGGAAAGGGGGGATGCACTACACAACAAGGTCTTTCCCTATGGTCCTGAGCTCCTGATACATTCTTCCTACTATTGAATAGATGTTGGGGACAGTTTTTCCAAGTTTATATGGCTAGAAACCAGAAAATGTGGACCTATTTTGTGTTTTCCCATACATACATTATACCTATTGATGTAGGGCGCTTCAGGGGGTTAAATAAAGATGGAGATCTATTCATATATGGTCATAAACATGTTCTGACTATCCCAGAACACTTCCATGCCAAAGGGGCAAAAGTGCGAAAGTGTTCTATACCCTACCATATGTTGAATGGCCCCTGGAGGAGGAGCAGGCATACAAATGAGCAAAAAAAGCGGTCTATTATATTATGTTATACATATATATACTAAACTACTACTTATATATGAAGGGGGATCTATTGTGGTGTAGTGGTGAAGCTGCAGTGAGGTGGGAAGGGTGTGGGAATAATTGATATTGTGGAGAGTCCCAAAATGGGCGATGTTTTGGGTGTTGTGGGGTAATTCCCACGCCATGTGGCCAAAAATGCGGTGTGGCAATATTTGATCAGATCTGGATCATGAAGAAGTGGTGAGGTGGGAGAAAACTACTCCAGAACAAGTAGAATCATGCCATATTGAGGTGTCTGATGTATTATCTATCATGGGAGCCATAATGGATAACCTATCAAAGCATCTGTAGTCCCTGACAAGGAAGCATAATCTGTTGTAGATAATCAGAGTTGGTTATGGATAATATTGACAGTATAGCCTGATTCAAGTTCACCTCAGTAGACATAGACCCTTGTCATCAGACTCTTGGCAATGGCTGCAAATACGGGTTGCCCAACAAAAGTCCTCAAGGAGGAAATCGTGCGTGTGGCAGTGGTTCATATGATTGCATTTCTGTCACTGATACTGGCATTTGCCTGATGGTCGTGAAGTTAATTCAACTGCTCCAACAATCTGGCAAATTCAAAGTTGGACTGCTAGTACCAACACACTGGAGAACTGAGAATGCGGACATTGTGTAAAGGCTGTGGATGAGATGGCAAGTAGATGATACCATGATAATGGGTGAAAGGAGTTTGTGAACTCCGAGCACAACAATAAAATTTAACAACAGCCAGCAACCCCAAATTTAACCCAAGTAAGGAAGTCGGAGGATCACTTCATTAAGGAAATCTCCAAGCATGATGATCAAGGCAGTGACCCAGTGAGCCAGTATACTGTCACCAATCCCACATCCAAGCCAGACCCAGCTGGATATATATGTATACAACAGCAC